ATTTCTGTTCCTTAAGTCCAAAACCAAGTGTTTAAAACTTAGTCAAATTGTGATTCACGCTTTCTCTTTCCCTCCACAGATCCTTCAGCCAGTCGTCACTAAACGTTTAGATATTGAGTATCATTGATTTATAAATATCTTTTCCATATACTTATCCTATAATCCCTATATATATACCAGCATAATTTGTTAACAGAAGCTAAAAAAAGAAGTTTAAATGCTCACAACACTGTCAATAGCGTTGCTAAATGTGTTAAGACACTAATATTTCTATATTCTTCATTTGACAATCTTTTATTAAGTATTCGAAACACTTACATAATTCGACTTATATAGTTCGTCTACCAATATCAATAATATATCAGACTGTTAGTCCTGTGCAGGGTACAAAGCTGTTACTATTGTCCTCTTGTAATAGTATTACCAATACTTGGTTAAGTTTAAGAAATATCTATTTTCAAAAAGTAGTCACTTGTATGCTTACAGCGTAAATTTGTATATTACCTCCTACTGGAATTATTCAGAAGCTATCAGTGCCCTCTTATTTATGAATAGTTTGTTTTGATTGTATCGGATATTCGCGAAAAACTAAACAAGTATTATCTGCGTTGGTGGTCCCTAATTTTGAAACGATAGCTTAGGTAGAAGGCTAGTCAACAGCATCCACCGCCAACGCTTGGACTACTCTAATCGAATAGTATGATTGATCCATCGCCCCAAAGGGTAGACTATGATTTTGCGGTAAGGGGACGCGAAGCTTGAACTCTCGGGTTTACAGTTCGAGTACGCTAACCACTAGGCCACATTCGGCCCTTATTACGGGTCAACAATTTGGCGTTTCTGAAGTCTCTTAATCGTTCACAATGCTTGGATAAGTCGAAATCAAATAATTTAAACTGCTAACCAAACTAAGTACGACAAATTTATATATATGTGTTTTAAGACAAAAATTCTGATTATATATATATATATATTAAATATGTCAATTTGGCTATTTCGTCTGACTTAAGCTGTGCCGAGCGTGATCTGTAGTTGGCTGTGAATTTTATAGTTCATAATTTTCGGCTCCGCAGTTTGGGGCCAAGGGTACTCAATAAGAGCCAAGCTCACGTCCCACTATTCGGTCAGACAAGAGTAACTAAGGGTTGGCTATGGGTTGTCAACTAGCCTTTTTCTTTATAGCTTCACACGAAAATTATGAAACTAACAATCAAACAACTGATCTGAGTGAAGCAGAATTTCAATTCTAACCACTTCTTGTTTAACTTTAAATGAAATCTGTTTGGAAGTATGTTTTTTTTTTACAATTGTTTTCACGCATTAGTTTCAGCTGGACAGTTTGTATTAATTATTAATTAATTAATAATTTTAATTATTAACTAAGCAGAAACATCTAACTTTGATGCGTTTCGTCTGAAGATATATACACTCGATAATAGATAATATTAAAACAATAAGTTAGTTGAAGCACATTTAATTTGAAAAATAGAGATATTTCTGGAACAAATTTGACGCATGGTAAGTCTTATTAATACTTATCCTATTTCAGCAGAACACAAAAAAAAATCAGTCTTGAATTTTTCAAACCAAACGTTGTAAATTGTTTGTTAAGCCATTTTTAAAATTTTTGAAGTGTCATACGATTAGTATATTAACTATAACAGCAAGCAATAGTGATTTCTTTCACTTTATCTACCGAAAACATAAACTAACCTTATTCAAATTATTATTTTTTGTTAATCCGTTTTTAGCCACTGTAATTTTTTACACAATCTGATTCTACAGCAGTTAAGAGATGGATTGGAATTTAACTTTGGTTTGAGTTTCTTGATTCTTACAATTTCAAACTGCAGACATCTTGACAAAGAATGAGGTGGGATAACACGTAGTTTCAACAATGAACAAAATGTAAGAGATAAAGGAACATTTAGCTATCAGGAAGCCGGAACCAAAATTAAATCCTAACTCATCAGCACCGGAAATCTTTATAAGAAAAAGACAGAGATGGAAGTAAAAAGAGAGGAATCACACATAATAAATGTCCTTTTTGGATCTTTCTTTAATACCAGCATATATTTTGATGTAGTGTGAACTCATTTTATGAGTTATTTTTCGAAAGCATGATGGCGTACCTAATTATGACGATGTTTATTTTTAATAACTAGCAATTTTAGGTAGTTGTGCTGTTTTGTGATGCAAAAGTTATTTGGATATTTTTTAAATCCGTGATACAACTTGTGACCGATGTGCCTTAATATGTTGAAGCTTTCTTAAATGTGATTGTCATTTTTCAAGTTGTAGAAATTACTCCAAATTTTAAGATCATACAAAATGCCAATGGTTTCATATGCTATGAGTATTTAGTCAGCAAGACAGTGTTACAATTACTGTATTTATACTTCCATAATTAGATTAAGTTATATGCAGAATCACAAAAATTTTGCAACCAAATTTAGCTTCGTTTCATCAGCTACGAGTGTTTGAGCTAAACTTTATATTCTATGTATTTTCTGTCAATCAGAGTGTGACGAAGGCTCTCAAAGTGAGTAGCGATAAACAAAATTAAAGAATGTTTGGAGTTTTAAATTTGTGTAATTAATGATAACGTGTCAAAGCTAAAGCTAGCGATAGAAAATTTCTGAAGTCCAGATATATTTGATCATAATAATTGTAAATATTTTAAAGACAGATCCGTGTCAGCAAAGATAATTTAAATATGAAGAGTAAAAAGAAAATCAATGAATGCTCTGATTTTCGTATAGATTAATATATGTAATCAGTTTCTTATCTTAAGAAAAACCTTCCACATTCTAATATTAGAAAAGCACCTCCCCCAGTGGCTCAACGGAAGGTCTGAAGGCTTATAACGCTAAATATTGGGTTTCGATACCCATGGTGGGCATAGCACAGATAGCCCATTATATGTAGCTTTATGCTTAACTACAAAGAAACATGCAGAGAAATATTAGGAAAATATAATAAAGTTTTGTTTTTCATACGTAAAATAATATCCCACGGTCTTTAAATAAAACTAACAAGATAGAGAAATTAAAATTAAATTTTTCACCAGATTCTTAGTTTCCACGACACTCTGGTGGCTGAAACAATATTACCACTCAAATCCAGACTCTGACGGTGTCCAGTTGCTTTAAACGGTACAGCCACTCAGATCCAGACTCTGACGGCATCGATGTGTCAATAACACTATTGCTACCCAAATCCAGACTCTGATGTCCAAATGCCTGAAACAGTATAACCGCTAAAATCCAGACTCTGAATTCTGGCAGTATCCAGGTGCATGAAGCAGGCTTTGACAGTGTTCAGATTCTTCAAACAATATAGCCATTAAATTCCAGACTTTGATGGTGTCCACTTCAATCCATATTCTGATGGTGTACATTTGCCTGAAAAGATAAAACTACTTAAATCCAGACTCTGTTTATAGCGTCATCATCATATATTGTGAAATATAAAGATTTCTGGAGATCAAAAATTTACGTTAGCTGATTTATGTTATTAAATTTAAGTTTAACATGTGGGTTCCGGCTGTTTTCATGCTTTGAACACAAACCCAGATGATGAAGATAAAGGTCAGCAACATACGAAGCACGTGCGAATTCAAACACATCCTGAATGTCAGTCACCTTTTAAACAAAATTTTAACTCTCAAAATTAGTGAGATATAAAAAAGGATTAACATCTCACAATGCCCCAATTGTTGGCCATAAAAAATGCACAGCAAAATCTAAGCTGTTAATTTGCCTTGAACTGGTTACTCAGCTCTCACATACCGATAATAGAATAAACATTGTTATCTGATTACTCATCTCTCACGTACTGACTATCGAATACCCATTATTAACTGATTACTTTGCTCTCATGTACTGATGTTCGAATACCCACTGTTAACTGGTTACTCCGTTCTCACGTACTGATAATCGAATACCCTGTGTTAATCGGTTTCTCAGCTGTCATGTACTGTTGATCGAATATACACTGAAGCATGCCGTTCATGTTAAATATTTTGAGCAGCGGAGCTCGTTAGTGAGTATAAATATACGCTGCCGCCATTTACTGACAGCCTGTGTTATCAGTTTATTCTCAAAGACCAATTAGTCTGTGTTAATTTAGTTGTTCGTTAGATATTTTTAACTTCAAGTAATGTTCAGTGTTTAAAATCAAACACTGAACATTGGAAATTGAGACTAATGAGACTGAAGTCAAAATGAATAAACACACAAGAGAAAACTGTTTACTTTTCAAAACAAAAAGACAAAGTGGAAAAACCAAATATTCTCTGAAACTTTGATGTCACAGTAGAAGGTGTAAAAGGTGCAAGCCAACGTCTGCATTCAATTTATACCTATATGTAAATCTAATATCACAGGCCTGTGATGGTTTTATTGTCTTGAAATGTTTACATGTTCTACAGCAATTCCTGTACGCTGAATTCGAAAATGATATCAATTTTTTTCCAGCATGTACAGATTTTTCATAAAAAGTCATATGTACTTTGACATAAGTGAATCATTTTCATTAAAATTGGGTAACATTTTGTTATGCTTAAAATGTTGACAACCACTGGCTATAGATTTCTCTAGACCAGTCACGACGTGAGAGTCTTATCGATCGTTCTAGAACCCACGAGAAACACACCAGTAGTATATAAACGGTTAACAGGCCCATGACGTGTCATTTCTGGATAGTATTTGTTTCTGCATGCACTTTGATATTATTTTTTTCTTTTTTCTTTTCAATATTATTTATTCGTCGCTATGGCAATAAGAGGTTGTGCAAATGAACCAAACATATTCTGTTATATTTGTGGTAAATTTGTTGTAAAGAAACAAAGGCAAAACATTACAGAATTCGTCAAAAAAGCGCATTACGCGTGTTTTGGAATAAAACTTGGGAACCAAGACATGGGTTCTGTACAAAGTTTGCACCGTTTGTGTCGAAGGGTTGAGACAATGGACTAAAGGTAAAATAAAAGTATTTTCCTTTTGGAATTCCAATAGTCTGGCGACAGCCTAGTAACCACGAAGATGACTGCTGTTTTTGCGCATGTAGCATGCAAGGCTATAACACTTGAAATAAAAAGGAAATTTCTAATCCGAACCTCCAATCTGCTGTAAGACCTGTTGCTCATGAACCTGATCAACCTGTACCTATTCCACCAGAAACTCTTGATACAGTTTCATCTGATTTTGAATCTGATGTCAATAGAAATTATGACAGGGCTTGCTTTCAACCTGAAACGTCTGGAAAGGTTTTATCAAGACATCAGGAAAATTGAGAGGAGGTATCAAGGAAGATGGAACATCACCATGGTGGCTTATTACTGCTTGTCATTGAAACGAGATGTTCCAGACGCAATACACAAAAGAAAGACTAAAAACGTAGATTTCACACACACACACACACACAAAATCAGGATGAATGAGGATGCATATTCGTTTGACATCAGTTTTCTTCCCGTTGTATTTTCGTTAACAAACATAATAATAATAGAAATGTTTATTGTGGTAAACGAAATAATAATTTGATCTAAGTAAGTGTTGTTTTTTTCCCGACTGTAAAAAATCCTTACGTAATAGAACAAAAAGTGAATATTGTTTTTGAAATCTGCGTAGCTGAATTATAGAAAATCCGTTATTAAAACCGAAACAACTTTAAAGAAGTTTAAATTCTCAGGCCTCTATAATATAATACACATTGTTCTGTAGGCCAGTAGCAAGATCTCACAATGTTTGTACACACACACACACAAAAATAGTAGTAACTCAATACACACGAGAGGCAGCGGAGCATGCTTCAGAAATGGTGTGGCATTAATGTGTTATTTGTTGTCCAATTACTGAAGTTCCTTAAACCTAACATTTCAATAATTTATAACAGGAATGTTTTCCGATTTTATTACATTCCGAGTTGCAATCCAAAGTTGACTCTACGACTCCCCTTATGTTGTTTGGAATTAAATACAAAGCTACGCAATAGGCTATCTGTACTCTGCCCACCATGGGTATCGAAACCCGGTTTCTAGCGTTGGAAGTCCGCAGACATACCGCTGTGCCACTGGGGGCCCCGCTATGTTGAAAAAATGGCCATATTCATGTACCATGGTGAAGAAAATGAAGTACTAATCAAATAAAGATACAATTAAAACTAAGAATTATCCGAAAAATTTAACATCGCCGACTTAGCTTTTTCTTCATTTACTACATTAAACATATTCTGCCATTTTGAAATTATTTTACATTAACCTTATTAAGAACAATAACAAAATTATCCAAACTTTGATAATACTATTATTGAATTAGCCCACCATCAGTTTCGGTTACTTTAGGTTGATATTTTTGTTTGAGTTATCTTTGTGATAGATACGGTTTTATTTCAGCTGAGAAGAAAATGTGATTAATATGTTTGAATACATGTTGTAACACTCCTATAAATATAATCATGGTCGAGCTTTTCTGTAACAAACATACGTTTGATTTACAGCAGTTTTTATTTTGCTGCCCGAACATTATTTAGGACCTAAATTGGTCAATAACAATTTTTCAGTTATAATATATTTTTCGTGTACATTATTAATTTTCATGGATATCGTATTTCGAAGTAACAGAACACAGATTGTATTAAAATGAAACATTCCAAAATACTGGTTAACTCTTCTACAATGACGGCTGTTTTCCTGTTTTCTTCACAATTTTTGTTTAATAGCACACCTTACTATTGATTGAAATTTTATCATTTGGACTTTTATTAAAATGTTTAGACTTTTGACCTAACTAGCAGTTGTTTTTTTATTTCCTGTTTCAAAGAAAAAAGAGGAAATACTTCACAGCAGCAGGCAGGAAAACAGTCGACAGCTGTGTTAAGAAAGACGCGGAAGAAACGTATGGATAACAACCTCTGGCATGCACGTGGCACGTGCCACCCGTCATAGGATGTTTCTAAAAGTTTTTCCCGCGCGCTGTTATAAACTTACAATAAACATTGGTCAGACTACACGTGAATGAATACCTAAAAACTTTCCTCCCTCGTTTTCATTCCCCGCTTTGTAACAACTTCATTCATCCCCCACTCCCTCCGACCCTTCTTCCAATAGTGCAGGCACGTGGGTTCCACTTAGTGGTAGACATTTAGGAAGACGATACATGGAACCTAAATACTTCTTTGTCATTCGTCAGGCCACTGGTGTTTACTGTGTGACTAGGGCAGTATTGCCTCTATTCCACGACCCTCCGTGTGTCAGTGGGTTGACCTCCTTTCTAACCTGATTCCAATAGTAAACATGTTGATCAGTAGTAAAAACAATGAGCTTCTTTAGCTAAACAGTATAACAGCAGAATATACAAACTATAGTTTCTGTGCTGTTTGAAGAGCAGTATGGCAGGCCAGGAATGCACATTTCACCCACGTGTTTTACAGGGTAGTAGTTTCTAAAAACTTAACAGCTTTTAGTATTCTTAAACTTCATACACTAGAATCTTAGTATCGGCGTTTGGATCTGACTTCCCTAAATAATTCCCCTCTCTTCCCCGAACTATTCAGTAACGTTAATGAAACTGACAGCTCAATTCTGCTTGACATAAAGTGATATGATAAAAGAGAGAAGATAGCTCAATTCTGCTCAATAGATAGTGGCATGACAAAATTTAAGGCACCTCTAAACTCTGCTCTGCATTAAGTAGTGTGATAAAGTTAGAGCACAGCTCAACTCTGCTAGACATGTACGGTGGTATGATAAAGTTAGAGCCCAACTCCACTCTGCTAGACAAAACGTGTTACGATAAAATTACAGCACAGCCCAACTCTGCTAGACATAAAGTGTTACGATAAAGTTATAGCTCAGCTCAACTCTGCTAGACATACGGTGGTATGATAAAGTTATAGCCCAGCTCCACTCTGTTAGACATAAAGTGTTACGATAAAGTTATAGCTCAGCTCCACTCTGCTAGACATAAAGTGTTACGATAAAGTTACAGCACAGTCCAACTCTGCTAGACATAGTGACATGATAAAGTTTCAGTTACAGTTCGACATCATAATAAAGATAATTGTGACTAACTGGATCAGCGGTAAGTCTGAAGAGTTATCATGCTAAAACTTGGGTTTCGGTAACCATGGTGGACAGAGTACAGATAACCCATTGTGTAGTTTTGTGTTGAACAACAAAGAGAAAACTAAAAAATGTTAGGTTTGGCTCAGCTACAGTCCTTTATTAAGCGTTTAACCTAACAGATAAAGCGAAAATTTCCAAAGTTCGTTAACATTTTATATCTAACAAGAGATGATGTGTATTATACGTTAATAAGAAACACCTTAACCAGTTTACGCGTCTAGAATGCCTTAGAATATCAACTACACGAAAACAACAGTTCTGAAACATAAATATATTAACATGTAAAAAGCTGTTACTGATGGGCAGTAGAGAATACCTTTAGAGCATTTTTTCTGCTATTTTAGACATACTTACATCGGGGCATATAAAAGATAAACATGTGTTGTTATGCGGTGAGTATATTCAGCCACCAGTCTGTTCACCGACTATTCATACAATATAAAGACGGCTGAGTATCTCCTCCCCCGCCCATTAAGCCAGTAAGAAACAGGTGTTTGTCCACACCAAATGTGAAAACGTGACAGAAGATGTGCGTCTGCTTACCCACTTAAAATTACTTTTAAAGATTTACCTGATATTGTGCCGTAAATGATTATTCGTTGCTTCCCTTTTCGATACACAACCACTTCTAACACTGTATCATCCCCACCTCTTCGGTGGCCAGTTTTGGAAACCCTCGTTGCTCACCACAGAACATGAACAAGGTAAAGTTAATTGACTTGACGAGATAATTAGCGAACAGATGGCAAATGCTAACATCTACTTCACCTAGAACAATAAAACGTCGCACACGCAGCCTAATTCACTTCTTTCTCAAATGCACGAGCATAACGGTTCCGCCTGTACTCAGTTACCTGCGCTGCCGGTTGTTCGTATACTTATCCGAGTGCAAACAAACAAAAGTATAGGATTATCTCTTCACTGTTTCAACCTCGAGAGCTAAGCAGATCTTCTCTGATAAGCTAATATTTTCACAGTTAAAAGTAAAACTTCCATTCATCATACGAACATATTTCAAAATCGTTTTTTTTTTCAGGTTTATTGATCACTTATATTTACGTATCAGCTGACAGTAATTTTAC